CCGACCCCGCCGCGTGTTGCCGCACCCAGGTGCGCCCTGCTTCCCCAGCCCGGCTTCTGTGCCCCTCCACGCCCCCACGGCCCTCGGTGCGCTCCATTCCCCACCCCACCGCGTTCTTCTCCCTGTCCGTGCGCACCTCAGTCTGCTCCCAGGCTCTGGCATCCATCCCCGAACCCTGTGCACCCCTTCTCCCCCAGATAGCTCGGGTGCCAGCCTGGGGTGGGGTGGGGACAAGAATGGCCTGGCACTGGGACCCTGCTCCCACCCAGCCCCTAGGGGTCTTCTTTGTCCTTATCCCTGACTCTGCTGCTCTCCCCAGTGTCCCGCCTGCACTGTGAGAGCGAGTCCTTCAAGATGGACCTCATCCTGGACGTGAACATCCAGATCTACCCTGTGGACCTTGGTAAGCCATCGGGCTGCTAGTGCAGAGTGTGCCAGGCCTGAGCCGGTGCCAGCTTGGGTGGGCGAGGTTAGAGAGGCACGTGCCGGTGCTTGGAGGAGGGAGGCTGAACTTGCTGTGAACAAGGAATGAGCTCTTTCAGACTTCCTTGGGTCACTGTGCTGTCCCCAGCTCACAGGAGGTACTGGGCGCTCTCAGTGTGCTGGGGCTGAGCTGGATTCTGGTTCACCTCGCTGTATTTGTTTGGGCTCATCTCTGGCCCGTTCCCCAGAGATGCTGTCTAGTGAAACTGCCTCAGCTGGTGGCAGCCAAGCTTTGAGGGAGACATTCTGAAATGAGCTTCTGTGGCTAAATGTACTAAACGGGTGGAAAAGAGTCTTACCCTAAATGAAGCGCAAAGGGCTGGAACTGGTGCTGCAGGGTCTCGCATACCTGCCCAGGGTCCAGCTAAGCCCTCTGGGACTCTCCCTGCAAATTTCTTGCTGGGTCCCATGAAAACACCAGCAGTGGTGTCCTGGTGGCTCTGGTCTCCTCCGTGGTGGTGACCAATGTCTGTGAGGAACAGGGAGACAGAGGATCCAGTGTGATCTCTTCCTCGTTCCCCACAATCGTGTTGGAGGACTGAACGCAGGGACGGGATTTGTGCTAAACCTGCCAGGGCAGCTCCTTGCCACCACCCCGAGATCTGCTGTGGCTGCTGCTGCTCTTGGCTGCGCCCCCCGCCTTCTCACCGCTCCTCTGCCCTCTCCTCCTCCAGGGGACAAATTCCGCCTGGTCATCGCCAGCACCTTGTACGAAGACGGCACCCTGGATGACGGCGAGTATAACCCCACGGACGACAGGCCATCCAGGTACGGGGGTCCAGCTGGGACCCATGTGGGGGTGGATGAGGGAAAAGGTGAAGTGCTGAGAGGTACCTTCTCCCAAAGGATGCTCAGCTGGGGGAATACCCAGGTTTGACTCTTCTCTGAGCTCCTGCCATCCTGTCGCAGGGCGGACCAGTTCGAGTATGTGATGTATGGCAAGGTGTACAGGATCGAAGGGGACGAGACCTCCACGGAGGCAGCCACACGCCTGTGAGTGCCCGTCGGCAGGAGTGGGGGGGACACGGTGCCCTGGGGTGGTGTGGGGGAGGCACCGGGATCCCAGCCCGGGTCTCCCGTGGGATTCCCCACGCTCACTGTTCCTCTCCTCCCGCCCCAGCTCTGCCTATGTGTCCTACGGGGGGCTGCTTATGCGGCTGCAGGGAGACGCAAACAACCTGCATGGGTTTGAAGTGGACTCTCGAGTTTATCTGCTGATGAAGAAGCTGGCCTTCTAGGGGACCTCCTGCCTCCATGGGCTGCTCCAGAGACGTTCTGCTGGCAAGCAAACAGGAGCCCTGTGACCCCAAATCCTGCCCAGCATCCGTGCTGCCTGGCCCCTCTGGAGCTGGGGAGGAGGGAGCAGTCCCCCTCCTCATCCTGGCCTCTTCTGACTCCTGCTGGGATCCGCAGCCGCCTCCTGTGTGGAGAGAGGTGCCTGACAGCCGAGTGGAGACTGTGCTGGGTGCTCCACAGTCCTGCCTGCTGGGCATCTCTTCCCACCTCTGCCTTCCTGTGCTTCAAAAGCAGGCTCAGCCCCGGCTCTGGCCGGGGGCAGCGGGACTGGGACAGTCGCCTGTCTGCCTCGGGGCTGGGGACCGCTTCCTAAGGAGCCGTCCTGAGGCAGGCTGGCCTTGCTCTTGATTAAACTGGGATGTGTTTTGTAGATCTGGCTCTGTCGGCTGAGATACGAGGCTGGCGGGGAGCAGGTACGCCTGCGTGGGGGCAAACTACCACTTTCCCGAAGGATGGGCAGTCCAAACCTGCCCCGGGCTCTTCTCTGCCACCCCTCTGGGCATGGTGCACACTGGGGCTAGGGAGAGGCAGGTGGGTGCAGGGGGGGAGGAGTGGTAGCTCACATCTCCGAGTGGGGACCTGGTGCCCGATGGAGCCTGTCTGTCCTGCAGAGCTGGCGGCTGCCGCAGGAGGGAGCCGGGCACTGGGGAGAGACCCGGAGCACGTCCCCGAGGGGCTGCCTCTTACTGAGTCAGGGCCACAGCAGCAGGGGAAAAGGAGAACACAAACAACCCTTTAGAAAAATAGCTCTGCCCCTGGGGGTGTGCAGTCCCCCCCGTCAGGGCCACAGCGGCAGGGGAAAAGGAGGACACAAACAACCCTTTAGAAAAATAGCTCTTTAATTGTAAAGCGTTCACAGTAGAGGTGCCTGCCCGGGTGGGAGCAGGGCCTGCGCCGGCTGGCGCACGGGTGTTGCTGCTGCCTGCCTCTGTGCGCCGCGCGGTTGTCGAAGGCTTGAGGAACAGGAGCCAACCCTTTCCCTGCGAGCACCTTCCTGGGCACCCAGGGCACAGCTCAGTGTCCAGCAGGATTGCTCTGACCTGGGATTGGGGGCGAACCCCGTGCACAGCTTCACCGGGCCCCGCACTGAGGGTCTCTCCCGCCCACCTGGCCTTGCTTGCACAAGTCCTTGGCCAGGTCATGGAAGAAGAAGCGTAGCTTGCCCTGCACCAGCTGCCGGTAGGTGAGGAAGATGCCGGTGATGTGAGTCTGCTCCATGGAGCGTGGGGAGCAGCCCGGCTCCCAGGGTCCTGCCTGAGGGGCGAGAGTGAGACAAGGGAGTGACAAGGCCATCGTGCCCAGCACAGCTGGCACCTGTGCCAGGGTGGCCTGGCTCGTGCAGAGGAGGTCTCACCTCCCAGCTGAAGGTCTGCAGGAGCAGGATGAAGGAGTTGGCGTGTCGGTAAAGCTGGCTCAGCTGCCTGGCCCCGCACTCCTGGGTCACCTGGCCCTGGGCCCCCGCCACGGCGCCCACCAGCAGTGCCAGGTCGCAGAGGATCTCCCGCCGCTTGATCTCGTTCTGGGGGAGCAGGCAGTGAGCGGGCTGGCCCCCGGGCCTGATTTATTCCTCTGCCCACACTATGTCTGGATGGGGGTCCTCCTCCCCCCCCGTGCCGCCAGGCATGCCCACAGGCATCTTGTTCAGCACCTCTGGTGCCTGTGCCAACCTGGGGGCTCCTTCTCCAGCCCTGTGGGCGCCCTGGTGCCAGCACCATCCTCCCAGCCCCTCTCACCGATTTGGATTTCCACTGCTGGAGGCTGAAGTCCACCAAGGGCAGCACCGTGGGGCAGCTGAGTGCGGGCAGTGCCTGGCACTGGCCCTAAGGGGGAGAGGAGATGCTGAGGTGAGGCACCAGGAGCTGTGCCTGTCCCTGGGTTTTGGGGGGGACTGTATCCTCACCGCTCTCTTCTCCATGTCCTTGGCCTCCCCGATGTACTTCTGGATGAGTCTGTTGTCGCACACCAGCCGTGTTGGGCTGGCACGGCCCTCTTCCACGTGCAGGAGGAAGGATGTGAGGAGGAGCAGTCCTGGGGGAGACGGGGTTCCCTTGGGCACTGTGCTGCCCTCCCTGGGCAGCTCCAGCCCAGGGCCACGCCTGCAGCAGCAATCCCTTGCCCCAGCCTGATGGTGCCCGTGGTGAGGGTGCAGGGGGAGGTCTAGGGGGGCTGAGGAGAGCCTGGTGCTGCCCTGTGGTCAGTCGGTGCAGGGGCCCAGAGCTCGCTGAGGAGAGCTGAGGTTTCCCTGCTGTGCGGAAAGGCAGGTGGTGTGTGCCAAGGGGCTGCACAGCCGCCTCTGTGCCAGCTTTTTCAGCTCCGCTCTAGGCTGGGCTGCAGGTGGGGAGCAAAGCCGTGCTCCCTGCGCAGACCGGGGCCAGCCCTCCTGATCTGTGCCAGGAGCAGCTCCAGGCATCACGTGCGCTTCAGGGAATCCCTGCCTGCAGCATCCTGCAGCGTACATCTGCTCCTCACCGCTGCTCTGGCCGAAGGCTTGCCGGCCAGCACTGCCTTCCCCAGCGCCTCTGGCACACTGCTGCCCCGGACATCTCTTGGCTGGGCGGCTGCTGTGCCCAACGACTGCTCATCCTGGCGACAGGCATCTCCTCTCCAAAGGCCCTCTGTGCATCCACCTGCCTCGCTGCCTGCCTTGGCACTACACCTGTCCCCAAAACCCCTTGGCGCAGCCTGTTTCCTGAGGCCAGGCATGGAAAGATGCTTGGCTGCCCTCACGTGCCAGTAGCGGCCAGGTCCAACAAAACCAGAGCCACCCTTGGGGTTTTCTGCCCACATGTGGGGCTCATCTCTCGGGGTGCCCATGCGGGGGACGCTCTGGCTGTGCGGCTGTGGTGTCCACTGCCAATGCAATGCCCCTTCCTGCTCACTCCCGTCCCCCCTTTTAGCCACACACTCACTGTTCAGCTCCATGCTCAGCTGGGGGCTTCGGCCCTGCATCTTCCACCCTGCGGCCAGCGGCTGCTCCCCGACTCCCGTCCCCCTTCCATGGAGGGCGGCGGTGGCGCGGGGCTCCCCGCGAGC